TTGTAAATGACTGAATTTGCCGTAGAAATAGTAGAATTTATTAGGTAACTTGTAATAATTTCAATTTTGACATGATTCTCTAAAAATTATTTCAAGTTTCCTAATTATTACAATTAAATTTATAATATGAACTAAAATACCTAGTAAATTTATTTCCGCTGGGATTTTATTTTGACAAATTCGTATCCAAATTGTAATTTTTATTATTTCCGCTTAGGAAGCAACGGGCTAGTGGGATAAATTGTAAATATCGCTTTAATACTTAGATAAATTTTCGTTTTTCATTTTCTCGGTGTCATTTTCTAAAACAACAACGTTATTTAATAACAGAGCCCTTGGGATAAATATGTACATATATAATCGACGTTTAATAAACCAATAAAGTTACCCATAGAAATTGTGTTTATTATTATGAAACTTACCTCTCCTTTTTCTATATAATTTTCTTCTCTGCTTCTTCCCATCGGGTTTCCCGGTGGAAAACTCAATCAACTTCATCATACAGCACAGTAACAGCACTATCATGTCTTATTAACTAATAAAAAATCGTTCAGGCCATTTCCTGGTCACGTCCATTATTTTGAATTCTTAAATCGTTTAACAAAATAACAAAAGTATTTTATTTTTAATTAATTATATGAATAGTTTTTGAATATATATTTATAGTTTATGACGGGGCACTGTTGAAAACACTTCTCGGTTAAATGAAGCGAATGAATAGCATTATAGTACAAAGGGCCTAATATTAGAATATGATACCTTCCCGCAAAGAAATCTATTTCTGAATACCTGATGGCTCTATGAGCAGCTCTGATTGGGGTAAATGGCTCTAAGTTCTATTACAGTATGTCCACTATTTCTTGACCCGTACAATGTAGAACATTATTACCTTATTTATAATAACATAATATTGCTTATGGAAGTAATTCTAAATGGTTTTTGGATTCTAATTTTTGGATTTGGATTTTTTCCCAGTTATATGCAACAGGGAAAACAAACAAATTTACTAAAGTTTGTTGAAGAAATTTTCTAAAAATATTACATTAGTTTTTGAGTTAAATAGTAATAGAAATCCTTATGCGTTTCTCATACATTTCCCTTAAGTTTTCATTTCTTATTTTCTTCGCTATCTTTTCAAACCAGTAAGAAAGTTATTTGGAGCACCCTGTATTTATTCCAGGCATATGCCTATCATGAGAGCTCTGGCACTTTTTATAACATTACATCAATTCATTTTTTATTTTGTATTATAAGGATGACTTTGTGATAAGCTACAGCAACAATGTTGTTATTCGGTTGATGATTATAAGTTATGGATGTTGTACTTCCAAATATGATTACAATGCCAGAATGTGAGAGCAATTTTATGACTTGTAACGATAATTAAACATATTTAGCGTTACCGTAAGGAATGCGAACATCTTCGACTGATCTCTCGTGAGAGGTATTTAACGATGAGTTGCAATCTTGCATGTTTATTCAATTAGGTAGGCATTGAAGACGCATGTAGTAAATGTTAATATTAATAAAACATTATTGCACTTTTCAAAAGATTCCATTAAACGATTTGGTTTATAAAAACTTTGATAACAAGCTATGAACTTTGGATAGAAGCGGTTCAAATTTTGGAACTGTTACCCGTTTTTTTCTGGGGTTTCCTTCTGTTTAATGTACGCATTTGACAAGAAACCCTAAACTTTGGGACATTACATAAACATTTAAGCGTCTGTTTACCGGATGCATGAAGCTGTAAAATGAACATAACACATATGAAGATAACTGTGGAGAATTTGATGGTACCATTAGTTATTCATTTCGATTTAAACTAAAGGAAATATCAGTAATAATATACTAAATATTGGTC